GCCGGCAACACTTGAGCGCAAAATGACGTCAGAATAACGTGACGAGCTGCCACAAAAAATAAAAAAGAATTCTATAAAAACGGTATAAAAAAACACCCGTCCCGTAAAAAAAAAAAAAAAACAAGGCGCCACGGAGGATCGAACGTGCAACCTGCGGATGCCCACTCGAAGACGCTAACCACTGCGCCACACCAACATGACGGTGGTTGCGTGTTAAATACTTAGTTGGTGCACAAACTTAAGGTTCAACTTAAGTTATGTTTGTCCTGTACACAACATAGACAAGATCTACACCTGCTACTAAAAATTGCACATTTATTAAACACAAGCAACTGCACCCTGTAACGATTGCCACTATGTTATTGGCACTAGTGCTATTTTTTTTACAATTCACAACTTAAAGGAAAAAAAAACCAAGTGGACTGGGGAGCAGCAACAGTTTACCGGCGGGGTCTGCCAAGTTTAATATCCGTTTCGCGCTCGTTCTTAAGGGCGACATCTGCTCACGCTTTATGACGCTTCTAGGCTCATTTCATAGATACGCCCGCCTAATTTATTTGAGTGAGTATTGGGATGCTTTTCGCGCAAAGTAGAGGGCGGTCGCGCCAGCGCAATGCTGTTGCTCTTTCGCTAAAGCAACAACTACATAACGGCTTGGCCAAAACGAATGCAGTGTACCGGAAACATTACGCTATCATAATGGTTCACCAAGCACACGAATTGCCACGTCTGAGTTCTCGTACAAAAGCTAGAGAAGTGCCGGCGATTGCGACCGGCGGCTGTCGGTGAGAAGACACTAAATTACGTTTCTGGGAGTGCTTTAATCGCGTCGCATCGATGTTTGTTGCTTCTTGAGCGAACAGCATACACAATGAAAAATGCTTCATTTAGGTTAATTGATGCCATATGGCTGCGCTGTATTGTCATACTTAATCGTCGTAATTGTGTATTCTGAAACCCGGAAGCACGGATAACACAATTGTACGGGCTCGGTCAGTAGGCCTAACCTTTGGTGGAAATCATGATGGTAGAACATGTAGTGTACATATCCCAGCTTGGTACACTATATAATTTGCCCGCCATTATAAGCCTACCCATCATCTGCTTACTGCTTCCCAGCATTATCGCGATGGTGGGCAGAGCTTCTCAGCTTGGTACACCATGTGGCCCACCATAACAAGCAGCACCCATCATCTGCTTAGTGCTTCCCAGCATTATCGCAATGGTGGGAAGAGTTTCTCAGCTTGGTACACCATGTAGCCCACCATAATAAGCACCACCCACCATATGCTTAGGGCTTCCCAGCATTATCGCAATGGTGGGCAGAGTGTCCCATTATTGCCCACTATCTAGCCTCTGCTTTCCACCATCATTTCCACTTTACCCATCATCTGTACACCATACCACCCAGTATGTCCCGGCATAACCACCATATTTTCCACTACGTCCCACCATAGCCATCATAATTTCCACCATGCCCACTATTATTTCCACCATGCCCACTATTATTTCCACTACGCCCACCATGTTTTCCAGTATCCACCATGGCAATTTTTCCAATAGGGCGTCAGCGCTGTTAAACGCGCTAAATATTGTGATGGTAGCCGTGATAAATACCAAAGTGCACTCTCAGCGTCTCGACAATGATGTGCGTTGTGACCGGCTGTTCTTGTGCGATAAAAATAGTTGTCACTGTCGATGAGCATCTTGGAAGGCCAAGACATCTCCGAAGTGCTTGGGCTTGTACGCTCTGTAGTGCACGGATTTTAGTATTGCACGTGTTGGACAGGATAGGAAGGCTGTACCGGAGAATTCCGAGTAAGAGGGCTGTATATAGCTGCAACATGGAGTGCACGAATGGGCCCTATGATTTTCCGGCGACGAACTTGAATACATTCCAAATGCCAATGAGCTTTTTCTTCAGGTATGCGACATGCGGGCTCCTGGTTAGGTCAAGATCGACGATGACACTTAAGAATCTATGACTGCTCTTATATGCGACTAATCTGCCATTGATACACAATGGGTAGAAAGACATCGGTTTGCGTGCAAATGCCACCCCTGCGCATTTTTCTGTACCTTGCTGGCGAAGGTATGCCGATGTCATTGTTGACGCTTTCTGTATCCTTGCGCGCACTTGAGGCCGTGTCACACCGGACGCCCAAATTCAAATATCATCAGGATAGAGAGATATATAAGCCTTCTGTGACAGCATTTCGGTGAGCCCCACCAGAACCATGTTGAAAAGAGTCGGACTCAAAACGCCGCCTAGTGGCACCCTACGACTTGTGAAATGCTTTTTTGTAGGCCCATCTTCAGTTAGAACGAACATCGATATCTTTGTGAGGTAGCTTCTTACCTATCAAAAGACACGACCTGCAAGTTCAGCTGCTTCAAGAGCATTGAGAACAGCCTCAAGGGTCACGTTGTCATAGGTACCATTCACGTCTAAGAACAGAGCTACCGACAGCCGCTTCTTAGCTTTCTGCTGCTGAACAGAGGTAACTAAGTCAATGACGCTATCAATTGAGGACCGACCCCGTCGAAAGCCAGCCATAGCGTCAGGATAGATGTTATAATGTTCCAGGTACCATTCTATGCGTGTAAGCAGCATCCTCTCCATGATCTTGCCGAAGCGGCTTGCTAGTGCTATAGGCCGGTATGATGTCTAATCCAATGGAGATTTTCCGGGCTTCAACAAAGGCACCAGGCGACTGCACTTCCACTCATCAGTCACCATTCCACCATGCCAAGACTTATTGAAAATGTCCAGGAGACAGCGCTGTGCCTTCGGGCCTAGGTGACGTAGGGCAATATAGGTCACTCCATTTCGACCAAGGGATGATGAACGTCTACATGTATTCAATGCTGCATGAAGTTCTTCCATAGTGAATTCAACCTTCATTTGCTGATCTCGTGCGACTGGAACGTACTGTTGCAATAGAGCGATCGGTATAGAGATGTCGCTGGCGATCTTTGCACAAAATTCACTAGAAGCATCAAGCTGTGAGCGACGTTGATGTAGCGCCAGAGCGGTGAAGGGATAACGCTGTTGCAGATGCGAGTGAACACCTCGAAGAGTCCTCCATGCGGGAGACAAAGGCTTTCGAGGGTTAAGTGAGTCCCTAAAACTCTTCCATCGTTGTTGCTGGAGTTTGTGCATTCGACGCTCGATTTTCTTCTGAATGCGCCTGGATTCTCTGAGGTCATAGATAGATTTCGTGCGTCTGTATCGTCTTTCGGCACGTCGGCAGACCACTCGAAGTTGTTCCAATTCTTGGTCAAGTGCGGTACGTCTCGATTCTTTCGAACATATCTTCGTGGAAGTCTCCATCGCACAACAAATCACTTCAATGGATTACGGTGGTTCGTGCATGCACTTGCTTTCCACTGATATCTGATACTCTTTCCAGTCAATACGTCTTGAGGATGCAGGGGAAGGAGAATCGTCCATACCTCTGACTGTCACGTACGTGGCGATGTGGTCGCTGCCATGGGTTTCAATATCTGTGAACCATTGGGCTTTCGTGACAATACCTTGTGACACTAATATCAAGCCCAGGCAACGGCTATAAGTTACTCCTCTGAGATAAGTAGGGGTGCCGTCGTTCAGCACCTGAAGACCGTGCTCTGATGCGAGATCAATTAGGTTCATGCCTTTTTGGATTTGTCCTGATGCTTCCCCATAGTGGATGATGGGCGTTTAAGTCACCCATCAATATCCAAGATGCTGGAGTCGTTGCAAATATATCATTTAATATATGTTGATTCTGTCAACGTGACGGTGCTATATATGCGCCTATCAGTGCAAACGACACCTTATTTTTAACATATAGACACACGTATAGTGATTTCTATTGTTAGACTCTACTCTTTGGCGAACATAAAAGCGTTCTTTAAGGATGTACAGAGCAACTTGGCTAAGCTCAAAGCACGATGAAGAAACGATCGATTGATAGCCCAAAAGTCGAGGCGTTTTTGAAAATGTGGTTCACAAATGTCAGAGATGGGGAACTTATTCTCGAAAATGAACTGTCTAAGCTCAGGCATTCTTGACTGTAGACCTCAGGCGTTGCGCTGAATTATGGAAGCACGTTTGACTTTTTCTCGTAAAGGCTGATGTGGTCTATGGTGTGCCATCTTGTTACTGAAGTCCGGCCACAATTGATTCTGGTGTGTCCAAGATGTGCTGCGCGCATTTAGCGGCAGGGATCTGTAGACTAGCCAAGAAAGTGCGAATAACACTCATGAACGACCTCAATACAGAAAAAACTTGTACCTCTTGGGCGGATTGACGGCTTGCTGAGGGTATATCCGTGGTTGACTGTCGATGTTGTGGTTCCGTAGACACGTGTACCCGTGGTAAAGCGGGCCAGTCAGAGACACATGTTCTCTGTGGCGCCACAGTGTCTTCCGGCATCTCTGGACGTACCCCTCCTAGTGGCGGGGGCGGGGGAGGTCGCTGTGGTCGTGGCGGTGGTGGTGGTGTCGGTTGCGGCGTAAGTGAAGGCACATTCGGTACAGAACTGCTTTTTTTTCTCCGAGCACCGCCATCGACAGCAACGCCGTCGTTGAACAACCGTTACCACTTCCTTTCGTGAGGATCCGTCTTTCACCATTCGTCTCAGAATGCTCATCTCCTTCTTGAGTACTGGGAAGTCTTTGGATGAGGTCTCATGGTTCCCATTGCAGTTGCTGCATTTTAGGAAAGTTGCTTGGCAAGCCTCTGCTTTGCGGGGTCCGCCGCAACATGGGCAAGCTTGCTTGTTGTTACACACACAGCACTAACATGGCATGGTCAGAAGTTATTATTAAGACATAGCGCTGAAATGACGGGGCAAAGAACCATATTAAGGACAGCCATCATTGTATTTCTTGTACACTTCGGTGTTACGGTCCTAATATAGCTGCGGAATGAATGTTCAGTCTTGTAAAGCGTTCGAAGTACATTGTTTTAGCAGGAACTATTCACTCTTGCGTGTCGGAAACAGTGGTCAAGCATGGACAGCCTGCTGGACGAGGCATGCGGCTACGGCCGCTACCAACGGGTGCTGCTCTGGCTCGTGCTGTACCCAGCCCAGGTGTCTTGTGGGCCGCAGCTGTACGGCCAGCTGCTCATGTTCCTCGAGCCTGACCACTGGTGCCGTGGCTCGCCACCGCCCGAGCACTGGGCCAACGGCACCGAGCGCCTTCAACTCTGCACATCACTGTCTAACGTATCGGCTGCCTGCCCCGACGGCTACGAGTACGATCGTCGCTTTCTTGGAGATGATGAAACCGCCGTCACACAGGTTAGGAAGCTGCGGTGCTGCCTGCCATTACCAGGCGCAAATAGCAAGCCTGTTCATTAGGGTTATTCACTCGCAAACAAAATACGAAGAACGGGTGTTTATCGGCTAATAAAGCAAGAAGTGACGTTGCTTTGGCAAGAAAAAAAGCTTGGTTTAGTGGGTACACCTATAACCAAAGTATACTTTACATTAATTCGACTGCAGCGACTACACAGCTAAAATGCGGGTATATGACAAGCAAAGCACAATAGTGAGTTTCTGGCGTACCAAGCGCCTGATTCAAGCTTGAGGAGAAGCAGTGGTTGAGGAAAGGAAGAAAGACAACTTCGATAGCTTTTCATTTCCTCAACCTCTCCTCCTCGAGCTGGAATCTGCACTTAGTGGAGCGAGCCCAGAATTCAGCGAAGAATGAGTCCTTTTAACACTTCAAAGCAGTGTGCCAAGTGAAGAGAACGTGTCTCAGAGACAGACGCTCACCAAAAGAACAAAAGCTTTATTACTCGTACACTTTCAGAAAAAAAGTAGTATTACTTGCTAACTTTGGGGTAGTAAGGGTTTGTCACATATTTTACAACCATCGTATAGTCAGCGCAGTTAATAACGGCAAGGGTGGTAACGATTACCACCTTGGCTGTTACTACCAGCATTTAATAACTGTTACTACCCTAGCCATTACCACCCATGGGTTGTAACTTTTAAAGGTTTCAAGAAAAAAGTAGTAACCCATAGTACCCTGTTCATTCATTTTGGCGCATTATTTCTCCATTGCTAATGTTGGTCAATCAATGTTCCTTTACTGCACAACTTCGGGTAATGTTACGTGGTGTACCATAATTGCGAAAAATACATTGACCTAACAGGTTTACTATTTTTTTATTTTTTTTATTGTGTTTACTATTTTTTACGCATACAGTATGAAGTAAGCGATGGTATATATAGCCTCTACTTTGCAGGTGCATGTCTGGCACAAGGAAGCACTTGTGTTTCAGGATAAATTATAACAACGGCAAACCTACAGCACTATATATTACTACCTGGTTAGGCGTGTTTGGGAACGTGGTACAAGACTTTTAATCCGCCTTACTTATAAAAATTATATGTTATTTCTATTCAATATAAAAGTGCTACAAAAAGGCTTTATGTAGAGTGGTTATGTACTGAACTCTTTCCCAGTGCATTTCAATGCTTCACACGACTAGTAAATGAGTGGTGAAAAGCTAATAATCGTTCTTAGGGTTTGACACGCCAAAACAATGATAGTATTTGGAGACACTCCGCAGTATATTAATGGTGACTGTCCTCGGGGCTGATTGTGATTATCTGGGTATTTTATTTACTAGTCTTGTTGATTTGCTACAATTTACTAAGTTTTTTGTAATTGTCTATTATCACGCGTGTAGCACTTGCTTATGAATCGTTAACTTGTGCTTCTCAGTTTTGACAATGTCAGAATAGCGTTTACATATCTCGGTTGCGTATCGATCTTAAAACAAAATGTATCTTCTTGATCTATGAATATCTTCTGCGTCATTTTTTCGTTTAATGATGATAAGTCGAGATGATTGCTCTCATAAGTTATCAGAATCAGAATCACACAAAATTTTGGATTAGATAGTCAACATCCTGGTAGCAAAAAGGTAGTAACGAAGCAAGAAAGGTAGTAACGACTGCAGTTACTACCTTTCTTATTCCAGTTAATGTTTACAAACTTAGGTAATAAACAGGTCGGAAAAAGCTATTCACGGTTGCAGCTAGTAACTGTTTACTAGCATGAGTAGTAAACAGGTAGCAAACGGGTAGTAACAGCCCTAGAAATGTAGTAGCCACTTCAGTTACTACCTGTTTGCTTGCAGTTGCTACCTTTTCACTAACTTCTTTTAAGAGTGAAGAAAAGTGGCGGATCGGGCTAGTCGGTACTCTTTGATAATAGCGTGGAAGCAAGCACAAGGGACGACCAAAAAAGGGACGCAGACAAGCGCTTGTCTGCCTCCTTTATTTTCTCGTCCCTTGTGTTGCTTTAGTGGTATTACATTTCTGATCTGCTTGTTGCACGTTCCTACGGATTGCGGCAAACAGAGGACGTCATTTTCACGTGGCTCGCGTGCGTCTTAAAGGGACAATGAAGAGAATTCAATGACTTGGTTTAAATTCATAAAGCGCTCTTTGAGAATGTCATAAGTTTCGCGATCGTAACCTCAACCTTAATTTTCTTGGTTCATAATGAAATCATATCTTTAAATATTATGCCGTAACAATCTTGCGTGACGTCAAAAGTATCAAAATGTATGTTTAGTGTTTTCGTGACATTGGCTCAATGAAATCTTCTGAAACTTCGTATGCTAGGGGGTCTATGCCACCCACAGACTACAAAGTACTTCAATTTTATCGAGTAAAAGCGGCTTAGGACGCAGTATAAACCTTCAAAATCTATGACGTCATGGTGTTGGTGCGGGAATCTTAAGGTGGCGTCACCTCTCGCATTTCCTTTTTGCGCGTTTTCTCGCTTACCCTAAGCGTCTTCTCGCCGTAAGAATACTGTTTTCAGGATTGTGAAACTGTACATTACTGATACACGAAACAGGGCGTATTAATTTTTGCTTATTACTTTAATGCACAAAAAATCGTCTTTCTCATTAGTGTATCTTAACACAAATGAAGAGAGGGGCGTGTGATATCGCTTCCGAACATTAGAGTGGCATTTGATGCCGCGCACGAACATTCCTTTTATTTAGGTTTAAAAAATTGTTTTTTAGTCCTAAATATCTTCTGCGAACATTAGAGCCATAACGAACGACTGGTCTTCGAGTTCGAGTAGACCTCAGTTTTGATTCCTCCGGTGTGCCGAGAAAACTTGGCTGGTGACGACGGGCTCCAAGTTGACACGTGCTCGTCCGAGGAAGCTGGAAGTGTTGGTCAGGTAGTGGCTCTGAAGGCTTCTCTGTCGGCCATGCACGTCTCAGTCGTCGGTTGCGACGCCTTTGGTGCATGTCGTCATTGGCCATCCAAGCCAGATAGAAAATGAAACCCTTTAACCTACTTCGATAACTTAGTCTAACTTCCATCAAGGTCGTACAGCGAAGCTTCGGGCATTGACCGAATATCTTATGCAAAATCCTTTCCCGACCATGTCAAAAGTAGCGTGCAAACGGCCTGGATGCAGCTTGTTTAATGCTGAGCGTAATGTTTTGCTCATCATCATCTCCGTCAAGCTTTTTCCAGCCACTGAATGTGGGGTAGCTTGTCCCGGGTGTCCTTTCCGGACTGTTCCTTCTTTGATCTCTGTTCCTCCTCTGAACATTTCTTTGATCTCCCTCACCAATAGCTCATCAGACACCACTCTGTTTATTTGTGTTTAGACTGCCACGAGCCACGTGTAAATGACGCCATCGGCTTGCTGCAATTTATCAGAACGCGCAATAAACATTTTGTTCTGTTGCTGAGCGTCTGGCTCCGAGTTATGCTCATTACCACGAAGTTCTGAAAGATTTTGCTATTTTTGCGGTGCTCGTGTACTTTCCTCAAGCGTGTATCTTTAAAACCATCGATGTGAAACCCAACTTCTAGCGCATAAAGAATGAAGAGGCTGTTTCTTAGCATTTTAGTGTGAAATGTCCGACATGCTGTGCATGTACTACTTTTATACTCTCGTCAGTTCTTATTAAAGTGTAGAAAAAATTGCTTGAATTCATACAGTCGTTGGGGCAGCATTGAATGACTTGCTTCGTCACATGGACACCTTAGTTTAGTGCGTACGGAGCAGTGCATGTGTTGCAGGTTGTACCATGTCTACTGTACACAATATGCATGGCTGTCTCACATATACTGCTGGCGTCTATATGATGAGATGATTGTGCATGCGTCCGTAGCAGCTATATTGTGCCAAGGAGCTGATCGAGGTAATGAAGAAGAGTTTCGGAAGCGAAGCTCCCTTAGCCGTGGGTTGTGCGTCCACGATGTATGTAGTAGTAGTAGTAGTAGTAGTAGTAGTACATAGCCACCTCCACGGCCAGACTAGAGGATTGGTATACGCGCACCCTTTTCAATTGAGGAGGGAACCCGCGCGTGTTGATCTTAAAAAAAAAAAAACTTGTATCAGAAGGACGCACTTCGAGCACTATCTCACCAGAAAGGGTTGCCAAGTTAAACTCGCAGGGTGAAACTTCTTTGCTTTAGCAAGTTTAGCGAGGGCTTGGCCACAGTGGCATTGATATATTGAACTAATATATAGCCATGAACTAGAGGTGGTGAAAGGTGGAAAATAGACACGAAGCGCAGGCCGTAAGAAAGTGCGCGAGTGTCACCTATTGTTTAGTCCTTGGAATTTATAGATGGCGGTACTTACATATGCGGATTATATGATGGAAAGATTCGAGATAGAGGTACTTAGAGTGTTCTTTAGAATAACGGAAGGATGGGCAGATGGACAGACAAACAGATGCACGGACGGACGCATGGACGAATGAATGGACGGACAGATGAACGCACAGGCAGACGGACGCACGAATGGATGCACAGACGGACGGATGAACGCACGGACGGTCGCACAGACGAACGTGGGGACGGACGATTTGCCCTAGTCATCATCATGCACTCTGTGGATATGCTGTGTTTTTTTAGTGGCTCATGTCGAAAGATTTAGTATACTACTGTGTAGTTGTGGCCCAACAGAATCAGCCGCAGCTGTGGCCGTCCACAGGATATTTTTTTTTTAAAGACGATAGTTTTTCTTGGGGACCTTCGACGCAGAAATTTTTGTCTGTCTGTCTGTCCGTTTGTCCACACTTAGCGGTACCGGAAACTTTAAACGGCATCAGCCGATACCGCAAACGGCCGACCCCATCCGCAGCGCCCGCCAATGTTGCTCAAGATTCAGTGTTCATACTTGTGCCATTGTCAATTAAAAAGCAAGTATATGCGCATATCTTGCACCATAACAACACGTAAATATTCTGTATGTGCATCTTTTACTAGAAAACGCATACATAAGTGATTCTAAGGAC